CTACCACGCCTGGCTAATTTTTTGATTTATTGTAGAGATGAGGTCTCGCCAAGTTGCCCAGGCAGATCTCGAACCCGCAGGCTCAGGCAATCCACTCACCTCAGCCTCCCCAAGCGCGGGATTACAGGCTGAGCCACCGAGTCCGGCATTATCTTCTTTTTTCATGTGTGGAACTTCAAGGAAAGTGTCAGACAAGGGGAATATTGTTAACCACTCAAACCCCAGAGTTGGTATAAAAATTATATTAAAGTGGAAAGATTTACATTGAGTAAGATGCAAAACTTTCATTGTCTGACTAAAACAAAACCTCCAGAAAATACACCTCCCTTAACTCCTCAAAAGGAATCTCCTGTGTATCCAGCTGCTGTGGAGATAGTCCAGTTCACACCCAGGTCCAATGGCATGACGAAGCTCGGCAGAACCTTCCATACCTCCTCACTGAAGCCCTCAAAAAAAATTTTTTTTAAAGTTTGGTACATAAATCTTTTTTTTCCCTCTGGCTATGTAGGAAGTGACTTATCACTGAGCTCTCCCACATGAATTCATAAATAAACTTTGTCTTCTTCAGTGCATTCGCAGGCCTTCAAACAATGGACCGAACCTGGAAGAGAAAAATTTTTCTCCCAACACAATTATTTCTTCTCATCTTCTGGAATCTGGTCATACCAATCCTTTACTCATCCAAGAGAAATAATAATAGAAAACATATCAATACAAAGAATGCCAGGAAATGGGAACTTCTATGATATAAAAGTTCAATTTTATAAGTGAGTCAGCAGATGGCACCAAGGAAGAAATAAGCATATCTTGATAAATGTATTGGTGGCTCTGAGTCCTGGAAATCCAATAAGAGCGAATCCTTTCGATAATCCATTCTGTTTTATCCTTAAATGTCCCATCTTAGCACAGTTTTATACTGAAAACCGCCTTAAGATCTCCTTGAAAAAAATTAAAAATCACAAACAAAATAAAACTTAGAAAATACCAGCCGGGCTCGGTGGCTCAGCCTGTAATCCCGCGCCTTGGGAGGCTGAGGTGACTAGACTGCCTGAGCCCGCGGGTTCGAGACCCACCTGGGCAACTTGGCGAGATCTCATCTCTACAATAATTCCAGCCTGTAATTCCGGCTACTCGGAAGGCTGAGGCTGAAGAATCACCGGAGCCCAGCAGTTGAGGCTGCGGTGGCCGGGAGCGGCCACTGCACTCCAGTCTGGGCGACAGAGTGAGACGCCAACTCAAAAAAACAAAAGAAAGAAAATACCTTGAGGCCAGGCATGGTGGTTTATGCCTATAATCCCAGCACTATGGGAGGATGAAGTGGGAGGTTGAGGCAGGAGGACTGCTTGAGCCCAAGAGTTCGAAACCAGCCTGGGCAACATAGCGAGGCCTCACTTCTACAAAAAAAATAAATAAGATTAGCTGGGTGTGGTGGTGTACACCTGTAGTCCCAGCTACTCAGGAGGCTGAGGTGGCAGGATCATCTGAGCCTAATGAGCCCTGCCCATGCCCCTGCACTCCAGCCTGGACAACAAAATGAGACTCCGAGTCAAAGAGAACAAAAGAAAATACTTTGCAAAAAAAAAAAATTTCATGTATTGCTGCTAAAACCTGATTTCTGACACCCACCTTTCTAGGTTAGGCACAAATTACACTGCATTCAAGAAAATGAAGTTTTCTTAGCTGTAGCCCATTGGGACAAGAAGAGGATGAGCACAGAGAAATCTGTCCTCTAAGTTAGAGGAATAAATGCATTTTGGTAGTCCCTGAATCATTTTGGCATTTCAAATAACAAGCAGGGACTTAATATATGTGGGGGGAAAAAGGACATTTCCCCTAGTTGAATGGCAGACTTTCCACAGATTGTAAACCAGAAAATAACCGAGCTCTAGTAACCACCTGGAAAGGCGTTTTCTGTTGCTGTGTATTCCTTAACAAAAATATTCAGTTTCCAGCCATTCGAGAGGCTGAAGCAGGAGCATCACTTGAGCCCAGGAGTTCAAGGTCAGGTCCACCAGAGCAATACAGCAAGACCCCCCCCCAAAGACCCAGGAATGCCAAGAAAGAATATTCCCTGAAATTCCGAACGATGCCACACACATTCATCTTGTCATTCTTCCCCATCCCAAACCAACATCGAAGCAGCACGTCACCCAAAAGGCAGCTCCTGCACTAACTTCATCCAGCCATATTGACTAAAATAAGAAGGAATGTTTCTCTTCTACAGACACTGTGGACACTCTCGTGGCCAGGGTAGCACTTCTTCCTGAGTCATCTTCTCCAAGGGCCATGCCTCAGGCCTCCACTTACCCTGGCAAATTCCATGGGTTTGGGAAGAAGGCACATGACCATGACATCAAAGCGAACATCGCACACTGTCTTCAGCCATTTGGTGACAAACTGAGGCTTCAGCTTTTCCACCAAACTTCCAACTTCATCATCCATCATATATGCTGTGGAGTGAAACCACTGAAACACCATGGCCACCAGCCGGGCCAAGCTTTCGGTAGGCGTGTTCTCACTGGGTGTGCAGAGGCTCACCTAGAAAGAGGTAGAGTAGATCCTTGTTCAGATCCATCCCTCATCACAAAATTATTACATGTATGTTAGAAGGCACAAAAAAAGATGCGCTAGATAACCTATTAGAAACAGGCAGTTTTAGAAATGATGATCACTTGTTTACAAGCTGTGTTCCTCTCTATAGTAACAGATGGATTGCAGATTTCACCTTCCCATGAGCATATTCTACAAAAAAAATCTATTACACAATCCGTACTAGATAAATGATTTTTAAAAGCTGGGTTTATGAAGTAATACTTCGTCAATATCTTCAGTGAAAAATAATCTGTCTGCATTTATGTTCTAAAATGATCCTATTTAGGCAAGAATTTTGTGTCACTAATAGTTCTGCACCTTGGAGCCCCCCAATTCACCATTACAAATAGACTTTTTAAAACATCATTCGTTAGTTTACCCTGAAATAATTTTTTAATTGAGAACTGTAGCAGAATCTGGGAAGACAAAAACTAAATAAAACGCTGTCCTTGCCTTCAACGAGTTCACACTAGTAGCCACTGTGTCATTAGATAATATCTTCTAGGAAGCAAGTCATGTGAAATCAACAATTAAATACCAATTTAGTAAAGACCTTTTCAGGAAACTATATGCAAGCATAATAGAGATACATTACTATGGAGACTGAATCTATATCTCCAGTGGACGAGACAAAAGCCTGCTTTTCTGCAGAACTGGTAAATTCAGCTTGCTTGGGATTTAGATCTGTACATCTGCTCTCTACTGACTAAATGTTGCAGCCCAGTCAGTGGCATTACTTTGGCCATAACCTCTCTGGTGCACACAAACTTGCCATAAAGATTCAAAAAGCTCCCCAGAGACTGAACTCTCAAGAAAAATTTCATCAAAGAAAGAAAGAAGACTTCCATCCGTAGAGACAATGGGATGTGAATTATCTGTGAATTGTATTGAATCCAGTATTTGGATTCAGTTTTTAAAAACTTGCTAATCCACTGTCAACTTTATTTGTTTCCTATCCAAAAAGTGCATTTTAATCTAGGCCTTGTACTGTAGGCTGTAACACCTATCTGTTCATTAAAATGAAGAGCCAGGGGCTTGAAAAAAAGTTTCCGTCTTCTGGGGTGGGAGGTGGGCCTTGTTATTTTTTCAAAACTTTCCTCAACCAGTCTACCGCGTAGCCCATGGCTGAGAGTTACAGGCCCGGAGGACACAGTCTCATCACTAAAGTTAACTTTTCACCGCTTACTACTTGTGGCTTTCAAAAGATCAGGAGATACTCCTCCTCCGTGCAAGTGTGAAAGGAGAAGAAAGTGGAAAACAGTTAACTTCTTTTTCTTACTAAGAACCATATTCCAAATTGACTGAGCAGCCTCTGGTCGTGCTTGTCGTCGTCCTTGTTGTCGAAGTCGGTGTTGTCCAGGGAATGGTGGGAAGAGGAGAGGCCCAGCTGCCGCCGCCGACTCAGCTCATGCTCCCGCTGCTCGGCATGGAACTCGGCCTCCTTCAGCAAGCTGCCCAAGAGCAGGGAGATTTCACGTTAGACCGTGACAAAACACTTTCTCGGCCACGACCTATTCAGAGATGTGCCTCATGAGCACTTGAGCAACCTGGGCTGCTTTCCTTAACACCAACAGGAGTCCCTCCAGGAAACTCTGGCTGTCTTACTGTTGTAAACTCCATTCCCATCTCCAAGCTGAACACACCGAGGCACGAAGAGGCACTTCCTCCAGTCAACCTGAAGCAAGCAGAAGTGATGCCTCTGACTTCTGGGGCACCATTCCACTAGAAGTAAGTCATCGTGTCCCCTGTGTCGACCATGAAATTGTGCGGGCAGCAAATGCACAGTCCAAGGAGAGGCTGAGGAACTTGGACCCAAGTGGGAAATATTAAATATCTGGTACTCAAAGACATGAAGGTGAAGCAACAAAGACTCCTTTTTCTTTGAGTCAGTGTCTCACTCTGTCGCCCCAGGCTGGAGAGCAGTGGTACACTCCCAGCCACCACAGCCTCAACCTGCTGGGCTCAGGTGATCTTTCCACCTCAGCCTTCCAAGTAGCTGGAATTACAGGCATGTGCCACCATGCCCAGCTAATTTTCGGATTTACTGTAGAGCTGAGTCTCGCCAAGTTGCCCAGGCTGGTCTTAAACCTGTGGACTCAGGCAATCCTCTCACCTTGGCCTCCCAAACTGGTGGGATTATAGGTCTGAGCCATTGCGTCTGGCAACTCCTTTTTCAATATGCTGAACAAGTAAAAAATTAAAAAAAATAACAATCAATGTTGGCAAGGCTGCAGCCAAAACCAGCAATTTTTATACTTGCTGGTGGCATTTTAAATTCATACACATGCTTTAAAAAGCAATTTGGTAATGTATCAAGAGTCATGAAAATATCCAGACCCTTTGAACTAGGGAATATTAACCCACACTTGTTCATCTATCCTAACAAAATAAAAATCTGGACAGGGGCGGTGGCTCACACCTGTAATTCCTGGACTTTGGGAAGCCCAGGCAGGAGGGCCGCTCGAGGCCAGGAGTTCAAGACCAGCCGGGGCAACATAGTGAGACCTCCATCTCTAAAAAGAAATTAAAAATCACAATTAAAAAAGACAGGCATGGTGGTGCACACCTGTATTTCTAACTACTTGAGAGGCTGAGGCAGGAGAATCACTTGAGCCCAGGAGTTCGAGGGTGTGGTTAGCTATGATTGCACTACTGCACTCCAGGTCTAGATGACAGGGCAAGATCCTGTCTCAAAAAAAAAAAAATAATAATAAAAAGATAAAAATATAGGAACAGCACTGTGCACAAAATATTTCTCAAAGAGTTATCCATCAAACTAAAAACCTGGAAGCAATCTATCTAATGAATAAGATGTATCTAGACGGATATTATGTGTCCACTACAAAGGAGAAAAATGGAAACCGTACAAAACACCGACGAAAGCAGATAGAATAATTATGCCACAAAGAATTGTGCATATGGCGTAATTACAGTCATCTGAATAAAACATGCATTCGAATAACGCTGAACGCTTGGAAAACTGATGGCGACGATGACCGTATGGCTGTTTTTGTTTGTCTGTTTCCAAACGCGCCGCAACGTTTGCTCTGCCAAACATTTGTTGCATTTCTGCTGTGGGGCAGCCTCCGGGATACGAGAAGCAGAAGAGACGGCTCCCCATCCTCTGAAACTCACACCCGATGGCGTTTCTTTGGTCTGAAGAAACGTCTTGGGGCCACCCCTCCGGCTCTGCTCCCCGCGTGGGGGCTCCTGTGGCCTCTGGATAAGCCCGGCTTTCGCGGGAGCAGCACCCGGCGCCCCGCCC